TTTCGGAAAAAAAAGTGCGTTCATTCTGCGAGTAAATACGGTAGACCTCAAAATCCTGAATTTTGAAAAATGGCATTTTGTGCGATTTTTTTATATTTTAAGATCCACGTCTCCCCTTAAACAGTTTGAGAAGATGCGAGCTGCCGAAAGTGCAAAAAATACAGAAGCTAAAAAGTCTGACGGCAGGGTTGTGACTCCCAGACCCTTCAAGCCGATGTTGAAGAAAGACAGCGCTGACAAAGGTAACGGCGCTGTTCCTTGCCTTAGGCCTACACTCGTACTCGATCGTCGAGGAACTGGGATTCTTGGCGTTGACGACCGTTGCCGTGCCTAAATACCAGGTTCCTTCCTTCTCCCCAAGTGTGGTGCCAGAATGCCAAAGAAGAAGAGAAATGCGGGACCACTTCGAGAACGGGTCCCCAAAGACAGACGGGCGGACATCAGAGGGGCGTCGAGGACGGGGCCCTGGCAAGCAACTCAAGCATCTGCTCCCGACGACCGTCGGAACAGGAGTACCTTAACTCACTGTAAGGCCCCATCAGACAACCCCTACCTATTGCGGAGGAATTTGAGGGAGGACAAGTACCCCCAGCTGGAGAAGGTTGCCCAGCTTCATCTCTCGATTCCGGCGACACAGGTATCGAGCGAAAGGTTCTTCTCAACATCGGGGAGCTCTTTCTCCCAGAGTATGTGGAGCAGTTGGTGTTGATCCACAGCAATATAGATTAAAGCTCAGGACGTGAGGCACAGGCGTCAATAAACTTGGGGAAAGTTGGATCCCTCAAATCTGTTCCTGACTGTTTTTCCAGTAGCCTAGAAAACCTGTTGAAGACGATAGGTCTAGCTAAGCCATTTCGATGCGCAAATTATTCAAGTTCCATTTTTGTAAATTTTCTCACTTTTAAAAAAAACAATTGCAAAATATTCGCTTTGTTTCAAAATTATTTGCTTCGATTCAAAACTCTTCGTTGAAATTAATTCTTCGCTTCGAAGTGAACATTCACTATTCGCACATCCCTAGAGCTTAGACGGTGAAGACCATAAACACCTCCGCGTTTACACCGTGGTGTTTGCGATCATTTACGCCGAGCCACGACCTCCACACAGCGCCAGCAACAAAACACGCAAATAATTTTTAAAAAAATAAAAGAACGAACAAAGCGAGCTGCATAAAAAAAAAACTTCCGATCCACAGAAATTAAGCAAGCATCAAAAAAGAAACTTCACTAAATTCAGACAGCGAAAAAAGAAAGCAAAAAAAAAGAAAAAAACGGGCAAAGCAAGAATGGCAAAAGAAAAGTTGGTTATGCGATTGCACAACTAACTTGCTCAAGACTGCTTTTTTTTTTTTCTTATTTTACTTTTGGGCTAAAGAGTCGCGCAGCGACAGCGGTGTTTGGGGAAAGAGCACACGCTACCCTTCCAACAGCGGGCACCCCCTGCCCTCCGTATGCCCGCGCGTGCCCTTTTCCTTCAGTTTGCCATCCTCCACTTTTTTTTTTTTTTTACAACTGCTTTTTTGCTGCTTAATCTCGTGGGCGTGTGCTGGCTTGGGGGTCTGCCAACCCGCAACGCGAGCTATCTGCTCCCCTCCAGCGCACTACGACTGCGGGAGAAGCGAAAGGAGAGGACGGCCGTGCTTTGTTCGCTATATCCAGTGACATGGGAGTTCGATACAGAAAAACAAGGCTCCTCTAGTATTACACGTTATTTTCAAGGGGATGTTTGGACTGTTCCATATAAACAATTCGAAATACCCGGGTGGGATATAACCGGGCTCGACTGTATAGTACTTTACCCGAAGCAAATCGCAACCAGTACACTTCCTACTTTACTTGAAGTACACAACCTCTCATTTACTCTGTGCTTTACTTCGAGTACTTTTTAGTAGGGGTGTGCGAATACTCAAATATACAAAGTCGAATCGAATAAAAAATTCCCAAATAATTCGATTCGCGAATCAAATTCCTAGTATTCGGTCACTCGAATATTAAATATATTCGGTTAGAGACGCGCGGTTCGCGCGGAGCTGACAAAAAAGAAGTTTTTTCTCCCGATGTAAGCGCCAAGATGTTAGACAGACCATGCGAGAAACACCTCTTGGTCCTACCATTCCAGAAAAATCTAAAGCACAGGTTAGAAAAAGAAAGGTAACGAACGCCACAAACTTTATAGCACGTAGATTTACTTACGGTCGTGACTTAATCTACCCTTGAATCACAACCGAAACATCCTGTTTGCACCAGTTTCAGAGAGGAATTGTTGAGAAGCCGGAATTCAGCGCCATGCCGAATTCTTTTCACAAGTAAAGACCCTCGTTTCAAATTGAAGCACTGAAGTAGAACACACTTGCTGCACTCACAGAAATCGACGACTGCAAGATCACAAAAAGAAAACCACATTGACCACGCCGATGAAACCAGACGAGTTGTCGTCGTCGTTCTTTTGGAACCCGCAAGCTGCAAAATTGGATTCGGAACGAAACGGAACGGAAAAATAGTGTGCCTAGATTTGAGAGGGTTTCCAACCGTTCGATAGCCGCGTTTGAATTACGAACTGCGAGAAGGTAACGAAAGGACGAAAGCGCCGATCGAACAGACGTCGTCGCTCTTTTGTTTGCTCGCCTTCTTTCCACGCGACAACACAACACATGCGCACTTACGACCAATCTGCGCTGGAGCCGTCTCCGTAATTTCAGTTTCGCTTGCTCCCGCTTCTAAATCAGGGCTCTCTAAAACACGATAGGTGGACGGAAAAATGGATGCGTAGCGGCAGTTGGACGGTGACTTGCGCCACCTAACCACTTTTTTTTTCTTTTTTTTTTTCTTCAGATTATATTGTTTAAGCCTGTTTACTCAGATTTAACACATCTGTTTTTTATGTGAAATAAACTCCCGGGTGTCCTTTTCTTCCTTAAAATGGAGACCAAATATCGCAAAATGCCCCTTTTCTGAGATATACAAATATTTTTAAAAAGTTGCAGTGTTAGGTTGTGCTTTTAACGAGAAAAAAAAGGCACATGTGGCTGCAACTTTTTTTTTTTTTTTTTGTGACGTTTAGGGTAGATAGATTATGTTTGTGCCATAAAATTAGATCTTTAGTGCCCAACGTCCAATGGCAACTGCTTTTTTTTTTTTTTTACCAGAACTATTATACATTTTAGCTTTTGTTCCGTACGAGATGCATATTCTGCGCCAGGCGCATACTCTGCGCATATACAGTGTAGACCGCATATAACGTATGTCGCGGGAGTCGCGAAAATCCGCACTATAAGCGGTACCGCACTATAACCAAAACATCAATTTTTCAAGCCAAAATGCATGCCATCAGACAACTTACCTTTGTAAAAGAATTTATTTTATGCTAGATGAAAAATAAAGCTTTAGTTTGAGGAAAGTCTTTATTTCACCAGACTAGTACACTTCTCTCTCAAGTGTGTCACACATTTTGAAAGAAATGAGCGACTTTTGACTGGCGCAGCCTTTTGACGGCGTCGCGGGTTGCGGACGGACGTTGCGAGCGTTCAGGATTGCTAACCCTAATCACTTTTCTCCGGCGATGAAAACGCGTGAAAATTCGCATCCTTTATATGGTACGCGCCCGTAATACCTTCAACTTGAGCACAGGCATGAAATGCTCCAAATAAGAAATCCGGGCGATGTTTGAAAACACAAATGCTTAGAAAGCACCACTGTAGTCGAAATAAACAAACACGACGACACGGGCGTTTGTTCCGTCTTGAGAGTGCCGCCACAACATCGCCGCACGAGTAGGTGGATCTTCCCTTCTAGAAGGTGCTGGGTTATCATAGCGACACACAACGAAAATTCACAGTCAAGGATAGCGCTTTTACGCGGAACGATGAGCTTCTACGCAGTCTACGACGATGATCACAACCGACGCCACGTTCGCGGATAAAAGCAGCCGACCCGCGACGCGCGCGAACACTTCTCCTCGACCTGCGATTGGTCTGTCGTTGCGGTTGTTGTTCAACGCAGCGGAGGGACGCACACACGTGAACGACTCGTGTGTGCGTCCCTCCGTCGCTATGGCAACTGAAGCCTCTCTCTTCGCTTCATCGAGCAACCTCCTTGCCCCGCGAGTGCCGCTCGCGCCGTTATCTAGTGTCGCACAGGGAAGCGTGCTCGCTGCGTCGGTCGGTCGGCGCGGTCGCCGGGCTGTTCCGAAAACCGCACTATAACCGGTATTTCCCTTCGCGCGCCTGCATTTTAAGCGGTATGTAATTACATGGAGTTCTATGGGAGGCACACCGGTGGTTTAAAAAAGCCGCGTTATACCCGGTCCTGCACTATAAGCGGTTACGTTGTAAGTGGTCTATACTGTAATAATCTCATTCGCAGCACACTTTAGAAAATTCCTACAAATAAAATCACTATTCGATATTTGGCTTTTTTTTTTCTTGATTCGAAAACTACTATTGGGTATTCGCACACCCTTACTTTTTAGATGTGCCTGGGTAGCTACCGAAAAGACGGAACCTTACTTACGCAGTGGCACCTCATCTGGTTGGCTCCTAGCAGTTTCTCATAGCACACACTCTGGGATGAAAGAAGACCGGCATTGGGCTACAACTCCCACTGGCGATGCAGCGTGGATAAAATTAGTACAGCCTTGCGTCTCCGCGGTGCAAACGTCATTGTGCATCTCTGAGAGGAAGCCACACCAGAGCTCCAGTGGGAGTAAAATGCTACTTTGCAGCCTCCCGCCACATGCCCCGGGAACAAGGCCGTGGCATTGTCTACATCAGAGACTGGAGCAAGCCGGGCACAAGCGCCGTGTACGGCAGAGACTCCCATTCGACCCCCCATGAGGCACAACACTCTTCCGTCATAACGGTGCTTTAAAGGCCAGATAAACCCTTCCGCATTAAAAAGAACTCCGTTAAAAACAAAGTGGTACGAGCCCCTCCCAAAAAGGTCACTTGGTGGCCTCCTCCTCTCCAGCGAGGGAAGAGCGAAAGGCTTAGTGGGTCTCCTTACCTCCTCCCGACCTTCCTTACGAGGAGGCGACGACCGCGGGCACTGCTGCGGAGACTTCCCGACGCTGCGTCCACCTGGCGGTGCGGCGCCGGCAGAGGCTCGCCGCCGTGGGACCAGCCGCACCATCTTGTGGTCTCCGACACCGTACACCTGGAGGGAATGGGACGCCGCATTTAGTCCATGCCTCTCGGAGGGGAGCTCGAGTAGACGCCGCGCGTGTTGTCTTTTACCCGCCGTCACCACGTCAGATCCTCCCAGCTGGCTCGGGAAGGCACGTTAGAATGTTTTCTAAGGGCTCGATAGATTGTTCAGAAATATGCTGAGCCGCCCACGGTCATTTTGGAGTGATACGGCAACCCGACGTATGGCACGCGAGTGGTTCAGCGTTTTACCATTTCACGAAGAAAGCGGGACGATAACGAAACAGTGTCGGCTCCCTGTCGCCTTGTTTTCCTAGTGTTCCGAACCCGCGAGGGAAAAACCGAAAGAACTGAGCCGGGATGTATATGAACAGCCCCACTATTCCCCGCGTGGAGCAATCTGGGTTCCACCAGAGGCCTTGTGGGATTGAAAGCTCTATTCTGTGAACCTGAGCAAAGCCCCTAGAAAGATAGAAATCAAAAAGGGATGTGATTATCCAAGCTCAGCCCTCTTCTGGACAGATACGAGGGTCACCAAAAAGACTCGAGATGTGCCAAACATACTGAATTTGCAAAGAATATAATGCGTGTCCTTTGTTTTTATATTATGCGCTCCAAAAGTCACCTCGCGTTATATTCGAAATCGAGTTCAGCCACGAGTTTGGAGAACGCCATCCCTCCTGCCCAATGCGGGAGACTGGGTGGGAAAAGAAGTGGGGGTCTGGGAGGGAATTTATTAGCTATTGAGCCACGTCGAGGGGAGAATCGAAAACAAGCATTTTTATCGCTCTAGTGTTTGTACAACGCAGGCCGCACGCCACAGAAATGCCCCACGCAGAAATGCAGGCACTGGTCGATTAAAGCCAAGTGAAATCAACCCAAGCCAAGTCAAGACCACCGACCGTGTTTATGCAATCGTGCAACACGAGGTTTATGCGGAGGGACCAGAACGAGAAGGAGTGTGCATCCTCGGGTCCAGCAGCCTTTTTCCTGCCCGAGCATTTCTTCGTTCCTGCTTTGTCTGGTGTCTGTGCGTTGGTGCTTCTGCTTCGTGCCTTGCTTGGACTCTGGGCTAGCCAGGAGCTCATGCTGGAGTGCAAACCAAAGGTCAGTGAGGATCAGTGCAGAAAACATAAACTGATATTTCTTCCATTGCCTTTGCACTTCTGCTATGTCCCCGAGTGTGGTAAATTTACACGGGCTCTGCTCCCATTGTAATAGTAATAATTTTTTTTTTCTTTCTTTGAGAGCATTAAGGCGAGACGCGGGTCTGAAAATGGTAAAAAAAACGCGGAATTTGGGGTTTTTCAAAAATCAGGTTTGGATAGAATATAGTCTGAAGTACCTGCCTGCAAAGTTTCAATGTCTTATCCAACGTCCAAGTATGAAAAAAAACAAAAACAATAAATACAATGCCTCCGCGACGCTCAAATCGCGAATCCAACGCAAAAAATAGTCAAACTGCGCGCCCGCGTCGCTTCACGACCGATTGTTGGATTGCAGCAATCTTGGTCTTGTTAGAGAGCTGATTCTCTTCCCTCCGTCCTCATCCCACTCACTATCGCGACAACCTTGGAGAGCGTCCGCATTCCGCGGGTTTTCACGATTGGAATAACGATTGCTCATTGGCCCGCACGCGTACATCACGGGTACGTCATGCCGCGCACGCCTGTCATAGGCCAAGACGCGCCCCTTTCCACTTTTGCTCCTTTCCTCCTCTCGGCGCGCACGCCTCCAGCAGCGCAAGGGGAGTGTGGAGAAACGTTGTCTGTTTCGTCTTGGCCCTTCTGCTTTGGTAGTTCCGCGGCTCAGTGCACGTTGTTTCGAAATTCATTTACGTTCGCGTCGGACATTGTTGGTTTCTCGCTACAAAGTTGCGGGAGTTTTATTTTGAGTGATCGAAATGCCGGGGGACTCTCGATTGAAGGAGAGCACGCGGCAAACGTTCGGGAGGAAGATGCAACGTGCGTGGAACAAGTGGAAGACACCACCTGCAAGTGCGCCGCTACGATGCGCCCCTGCCGAACGCATTGGATCTGCCGGGAGCATCGGCTAGCCTTCCCGTTGACGATGCTGCGGCCTCAAGCTGTGGTACGGATAGCTCAAGTTTTGCCGGCACCACTCGCGTCGACTCTATGTACAAGGAGTATGACTTGGCCGTCAAGCTTGTGCTCGTCTGCAGCACTTGCGACTTCCAGAAGAAGCAGTTCTCCTCTCCCAGGGTTGCTGGAACAGCAAAGATCACTCCCTTTGAAGTGAACATGACGGCCATGAAGAAGATCCAACCCATTGGCAAAGGAGTGACAGACCTGGCAGACTTCTGCATGAACATTTCTCATCGGGGCCTGCACCACAAGACATACCAGGGCACCTGAAAACATTTGTGCAGGCATGTGAGAATGCAGCAACCGACAGTGAAGCCGCCAGTATCGCTGTGGTCAAGGAGCTCTACACAGGCTTCACGAACCCCAATGGCAACACCGATGTCGTCTTCGACAGATCCTCGATGACCCGAGGACGCAGCTCCCACATTGGTGTAGGCTGCATTGTGGAGCTGTACTCGGGCTTCGTCATTAACCATGTTGTATACTCCAACTCCTGCCTTGGATGTGCCTTGGGACCGGAGCCCGAGGACGATGGCTACAGCGACTGGTACGCAACCCACGACTGCCAGAGGAACATTGAGTGCAATGCTGGCCGTATGGAGGCTGCGCTCACAATGTTCCAGAGGTCTCTGACCAAGTATGGTCTCCGCTACACCACCGTTCTTTCGGATGGGGACAGCCGCACATTCCACGCCTTGTCTGAAGCGAAGGTTTACGTCTTCATCAAGATAGAGAAGAAGGACTGCAAGAACCACGTCCACAAGCGGATGGGAGCTGCCTTGCGCAACGTTGTTGAGAAGAACGCACAAGGCGAGTCACTTGGTGGGAGAGAAAAGCTGGCACAGGAAAGGATCAAGAAGATCACTAACTATTATGGCTATGCTCTCAGGAGCACCAGCCATGACGTTCCAGGGAAGAAGAGGGCAGTGGAAGCCACACTCCTGCACATGACCTCCCCAGACAGCGCCCCAGACAACAGCAAGTGCCCCGACGGAGCGGAGTCCTGGTGCAAGTTCAACAGGGCCTTGGCAAACAGTGAGCCTCCGCCGCCGCACAAGAATCCTCTTCCGGATTGTGATCGGGCTGCACTTGAGCCAGTGTTTGAAAGGCTCAGCAATGAAGATCTGTTGGCACGGTGTAATGAGGGAAAGACGCAGAATGCCAGTGAGAGCCTGCATTCGGTGATCTGGACGCAGACTTCAAAGAATGCGAATGCCTCCCTGGACAGCATGAAGAGGGCTGCGGCTGAAGCTGTTGCTGTCTACAACCAGGGAAGGAGGGCGACCAACGAGTCCATTGCCGCAGGCCTGGGCTACGCCACCGGTGACTGCCTTGTCCCCCGAAGCATCGAGAAGGACAGTCTCCATCTACGTAAAGCAAACGCGGTGCACCAGAGCAGCAGTAGCGTGAAGGAAAGGTTCTCCAAGCGACACCAGGCAGGAGCATCACGAGATTACAGCCCCGGACAGCTGTAATGACTTTTTCCAGTGCCATGTGGAACAAAGGCCCTTTTCAGGGCCAAACAAAATAGCATTTGGAGCTTGAAACTCTTGCTCGCCTCTCCCGTTGTCCAAAGTTGTCGGCTCATCACTTTAGAAGCAATTTTTTGCCCATATCAGTAATTCTTCACCATTTTTGCAATGTTCTCGAAAAGAAATTATTGCATTTCTTAAATTCATTTGTTCAGAATGCACTACACTACATCTTGACAACTATTATTGCATAAGGGTTTTCACATAATTGACTGTAGTCAGCGTCAAAACAGGAAAATGTGATTTTATCAACATTTCACTCATCCTTTACTTCTTTCATTTTTTTTTTTTTCTAATGTTCCGATGAATGGATTACGTCATTTTTTATGTCAAGTTGTTCATGAAGACTTGCACTACACCTTGGTGTCGATTATTATTTATCATTCTTCACACAATTTTTATGTTCAATGTCAAAACTTTAACTTTGATTTTCTCATCTTCGAGTTTTTTGTCGACATGCTTAGCCTTACGGGGGTTTTCATAAGGTTTTTATCGTAGCATTTTGAAACGTATTATACCGTTCTATTCAGAAAGGACTGGACTATGGACTAAAATTATTTTTTGCAGTTTATAATGACGAAAACAATTTTATGATAAATAATGTGACCTCATTAATGTCCTAATTGGCATAATTAGCCAATTTTCATATAATAATGTAATTTTGTGAAAATTTAAATAGCTTTATAATGCATGGCAGACCTTTCTTTAGCTATGCATCTACATCAATAAAAAAAAAAATTTTTTTTTGTTCGAAATGGTTTTAACGACTCGTAAGAAATTACCAAATTAGGCAACGCTATAACTTGAAAACTAATTGAGATATTTTAACAGTAATTTTATATTTGAAAGCAGGAAGAAGAAACATATATGCACAGTGATTTTCATTAGTATAGCTGCAAAAATAAAATAGTCCATATTAGAACCAGTGCCTCGCCTTAAAACTTGCTTTCACATTATATTCGTGGTTGCGTAATATTTGTGCAAATACGGTACCAGGCAGAGGGAGAAAAGGCGTGGCACCCCAAAGCTTCGTCTTTTCCCAGCAAAACTAACCCTCCATCGGCTACCACAATTCCACTTGGTGTTCACCTCAGCAGATTTTGCCGCTTCTTTCGTCTCTGGGCATGGACGTGGAGAGATGAGATTTTCGAGCGAGGATGCTTTACCATTTCAAAAGTACCATAATTACTCGAAAATAAGTCAACCTTTTTGTATTTTGTAAATGTTGTCAAACATTAAGGGTGACCTACAATCCTGGCCAGAAAATTTCGACCTGCATTCGTGACCAAATTTCTCGGCTCTACCGAGCGCACGGAGCTAACGAGTCACTGAGCCGGCGTCGCCATAGTGTCGTGCCGTTTCTTGCTTCAGAA